TCGCTTCTGATAATACGGTATCCAGTCCGGGACAATCTCGCGAAGTGTTCATGATCAATACCGAGCAAATCGCCAAAATTCTTGAGGATGCTCTAACCAAACAGAAAGAGGCATTCAAGATTGAAATGGAAATGACTATGCGGCGGATGAGGGAAGAATATGACCAACAAATCCGAGCTTTGTCGAATCAAATTGGTGAATCCAGCCGTCGCAACACTGCTAACCAAGCAAATAGCGATTCAGATGTAGATGAACGTCTCAATCCTGATAACCCTCCCGTTGACCAAAACACTGGGGGTGACTCCACTGAAGATAACAACGCTGGGGGTGGTTCCACCGAAGATGACAATGTCGGGGGTGGCCGTGTTATTCCTCTTTCAAATCGTCCGAGGCCCGACACGAGTGAGGATGAGAAAATGAAAGATCTCGAGAGCAAAATCAACGCTCTAATGTCTGCTCGAGAGGTGAAAAGGACCGGCATTCCATGTCCCTATCCAAGAGAATAGGATTCGATCCCGTATCCGGCGAAGTTCAACCTGATTAACTTCACGCCGTTTGACGGGAAGGGTTCACCTACTCAACATCTGATCTACTTCAAGTCCCACTTGGGTATGATCTCCGGCAATGAAGCCTTGATGGTTCGGTCATTCGTTGGCACCCTTCACGGGCCGACCTTTGATTGGTACCGCCGTCTCAAGCCCGGAAGTATTAACAACTGGGATGATATGGAGAACTCATTCCTTGGTAACTTCTTTGAGGACGACGACGAGGTATCTATCAGGACACTTTTCGATGAGAAACAAGAAGATGATGAGACAGTCGACGACTTCGTCAAACGCTTCCAGAATAAAGCAATGAACTGCCGAGATCCGATCACGGAGGACTTCATCCTTCAGACATGTCATAACAACCTATCTATTGAGATATTGAAAGTTATGGGAGTCGCACCGTCTAACACTTGGAAAGACTTGAAGGTGCGCGGTGAACAAGCCGAACGCTTCCTCCGAAGGAAGAAGGCCGAGAGGAGCCAACCGACGGCCAATCCTCCGAACTCGAACTTTGCCTCCCGTAGTAAAGGAAAGGCACATGCAGCGGTTGTAGACGTTAATCAGACATCGCAACAACCCCAAAGGCAGCAAAATATTTTTCAAGGACGAGGACGTTCCAGCCATCTTCGAATCTCTCCTTGAAAACAACAAGATTAAGCTTCCACCCATCACAAATCAGGAGGAAGCAGATAACATTTTGGATCCAAAGTATTGTGCGTACCACAGGAGGATCCTCCATCCCACCAAGGATTGCTCGCTCTCAAGAATAGCATTCAAACCTTGGTTGAAGCCGGCGTTATATCGCTCAATTAAGTCGAATGAAGACTCCGACAAGTATAAGAGTATAAACTGCTCCTTCCTACACTCCAAAGAGTATACGAGTATAAACTACTTCTCAGTCATCCAACTAAGTATGATGTTAAACCCGGTTTCGCAAAGAAAGCTGGGAGTGGATGATTTTTGTAACGGGAAGTTCCTAGAGAATCATATATTCTTAAGGATAACCCGAACATGCGACTGAGTATAACGTACTCCTCGTTATACCCAGTTTTACAAAAAAAACTGGGGGTGGATAATTCATGTAACGGGAAGTTCCCGGAAGAATGTTAAATGTAATATTCTTAGGGATAACCCGATCATTATGAACAAAGTGATAAACACTAAACTCCTACTATGACTTCTGAATACTCTTTTGCTGAGATGAGATTCGATCACCTCTCTAGATCAATCTTCCCTCACAAAACTCCTCATTGGGCTTAAGACTCACAGCTCCCACCACCCAAAAATCCCCACCGATCAGACTAATTGCACGGTGGACCGACCAAAATTCTTCATGTTTAATCCATTCAAACTCCCCTATGTTCGTGCCACTCAACACTTTCATGGTTTAGAGTCCGGATATAATGCTTAGAATTTTGACTCTGTCAATCCTTGACGCAGAATGTCAATCCATTCGTTGCTAGTCGATTACTCATTGAACACCAAAACCCCTACTTGATGATTTGTACAATTCAACACTCCCATTGATTTTCACTCCCACTCGCCACTATCACTGGCTCAACCTTCCTACAGTTAGCGACCACAATCAAAATCCACTCTCATTCCTTCAATGAACGAGAGGGGTCCACACAATCGAGTGATCAAACCCTATAAAAGTCGAGGTCATCTACACTCCACCTCTCATTGTCAAACCTTCCCTACATTAGATCAAACCAAAATCCCCTCGATCCTTCAATGAACATGGATCGTCAATTTTCAGATCCATGGCGATCAAAAACCTTCTACATTAGGTCGCCATCAAAACCTTCCCACCTGGTCAAACATTTCTACAGTTAGGACCAAAACCACAATTCCCTCTCGATAAACGAGAATATCCATCTTAGTTCGTAATCAAACCTTCGAAGTTAGGATAATCCGAATCTCTTTGATTCTCGGAGTGGAAGATCCCACCTAGTTGTCACATTCCCCGTGATTCTGAAGTGAACCCACTTTGAGTTTTCTTGTTTGCAACTGGAGATAGAATATAAAATTCTTCCTTTCAGCTTTGGCGCAGATAGATATAAAATTCTTCCTCTCCGTTTCGGTTCGTCTTTCCCCAAGAGAAGACACCACCTTTTCAACTCCTAAAATCCATGCCTTTTATGCATGGGGAATTTTATCTCGAACCCTAAGTAGGGATAAGTCAACGTCTAACTCGCGTTGCCGGTTTAGTCTTTCACCGATTGAAAAAGACATCAGAATCCAGTCTGGGGCATTTTATCCCGAAGCCTAAGTAGGGATAAGTCAACGCTTAACCCGCGTTGCTGGGTGGTTCGTTCCCATAAAAACGACCGAGTCTACGTATTCAGCATCGTAGCAACAAAAATCCATGCCTTTTATGCATGAGGAATTTTATCCCGAATCCTGAGCAGGGATAAGTCAATGCCTAACACGCGTTGCTGGTTAGTCTTTTACCGTAAAAAGGACAAAAGCCCACATATTCGACATTGTGGCAGGCCGTTACTAATAACGCCAAAATCCGCGCCTCACACGTGCGGGGAATTTTATCCCGAATCCTTAGTAGGGATAAGTCAACACCTAACACGCGTTGCCGGTTTAGTCTTTCACCGATTGAAAAAGACACCAGAATCCAGTCTGGGGCATTTTATCTCGAAGCCTAAGTGGAATAAATCAACGCTTAACCCGCGTTGTTGGGTGGTTCGTTCCCATAAAAACGACCGAGTCTACGTATTCAGCATCGTAGCAACAAAAATCCATGCCTTTTATGCATGGGAAATTTTATCCCAAATCCTGAGCAGGGATAAGTCAATGCCTAACACGCGTTGCCGGTTAGTCTTTTGCCGTGAAAAGGACAAAAGCCCACATATTCGACATTGTGGCAGGCAAGGTTTTAAATATCGGATGTCGGGTTCATGTCACTCGGCCAAAATTCTTGTCGGATAGCGAAAATCGGGGATATATCGGGGGACATGAAAAATATATCGGATTGCCATATCGGATAGGTTGATATAATATCATAAATGAAATCTTCACATACTTGATAATTATATTATCTAAACATATGAAAAAGTACATATGAGAAGGTCTTCATTTTCACAAGCAACCACCAAGTTTTTGCTTTTGCATAGAAAACCAAATAGACACTAGGACAGCTTAACTGCATATGTTTAGACAATTCTTATTAAAGTATAATAATTATCCAGAATATAAAAATTACTAATACAATTCTTTATACACAACTTTATTTATTAATGTAAAGATTTATTAATTGTTCAATTTAAGAATTTATGTTATTATAAAAGTCACTTCATAATTTTACACTCAAAGAAAAAGATTACAAAAAAAATGTTCACATACAAAGCGCGTGCATTATACTAGTAGGAACAAAAAAAAAATTCTACTGAAATTGAAAATTAAACTCGTAATTGCTATTCTAAACTACTTAACTGCATCGACTAACAATTGCAGGATTTTTATTATATATCTGTCATTTCTCCAAACAAGAAACTAGTAAAACCGAAGTATATGTGCACCTAATACAAATAAATTCATGTGTTCTTATAGCCTTCCATTATAAAGAAAACACATGCAATAACAAGTAATTAAATCCTACAACAAGCACCCATATGGGTAATGGATGGGAAACAATGTGAACCTTTACATAAATAGAAGGTGAAAGATATTGCAAATCATATGATTTCAACATGTCAATGTGAAACCGATATTTCTGAATTTTGGCCGATATTTGATGGCCGAAATATCGCCCGATATATCCGCTGGCCGATATTTGATGGCCGAAATATCGCCCGATATATCCGCTATTTTCCGACATGTCCCCGACATGACATCAAAAACACCATACGCATTAAATTCAACAATTTCGTGGCGGCTAGGCTCCGAATCCGCAATATCGGCCGTCATGTCGGACATGGCGGGCGATATTTAAAACACTGGTGGCAGACCGTTACTAATAACGCCAAAATCCGCGCCTCACACGCGCGGGGAATTTTATCCCGAATCCTGAGTAGGGATAAGTCAACACCTAACACGCGTTGCCGGTTTAGTCTTTCACCGATTGAAGAAGACACCAGAATTCCAATCTGGGGACTTTTATCCCGAAACCTAAGTAGGGATAGGTCAGCGTCTAACACACGTTGCCGGGTAGCCTATTCCCATAACCAAGGTTGTTGATAGCGGATCGCGTCGCGTCGCGGCGAGGTACCGCTTAGGCTATTACGGGCTATTGCGGCAAAATAGCGGCAAATAGCGCACAGTCAAATAGCGGTCAAATATTAATATATTTAAATATTCTAAATAATAAGAAAAATCATATAAAAATCTAAAAATCCTATAAATGCATACATGATGCCTATACATGAAATAGATGTGCGATAATTACATAATATTAACAACATACTATAATTATAAAGATTAAAGAATGAAAAAACGTACCTGTTTATCCAAAAGACTGTTAGTTGTCCTTCTTCAACTTTCAAGTCTCTAATATAAAAATGCTCAACAATAAAAAAATCATTGATTAGTATCATCATCATCATATTAACTACTAGAAAGTTGACCTAAAAAATAACATATTCAAGTATAGATAAATGACTAAATGAGCAAAGCAAGATAATATCATGAATCATGATAGATAAAAATAGTCTATAGATACTAGGCAAGCAATAAAGATCAAACTCCAAACACATGAAATGTCCAAACTCCAAACTTAACACTAAAAGTCTAAATCAAAGCTAAATAAAAGCTAGAAATCTCAAAAGTGAAGTGACTAAAGTCTGAATGTGAGTTAGGCACTGGGATTTCTCAGGTCATACTCATGCAAGACAACTATTTCCTGCAAATCATGCAATCCTATATGATATTTGTGCTATCTATTAGCAATAAAATAAACTCAAACTTTTGAGAAACAGTTTACATCAAATTAATAAACAAAAATTGTAGTTCATTGAATAATGTTCATTTAGGAACTCATAACAGAGCTAAACAACAGAGAACAAAAGAACCCCACAACAGAGCTAAACAACAGAGAACAGTGTTCATTTAGGAACTCATAACATTGTAGTTTACAACAGAGAATAAAAGAACCCCACAACAGAGCTAAACAACAGAGAACAGTGTTCATTTAGGAACTCTGAACTCATATTAATAAACAGAAATTGTAGTTAATTGAAAGGGAAGACAGAAATTGGTTAAAAAAGATGAAATTGGATAATTGAAAGGGAAGACAGAAATTGGTTAAAAAAGATGAAATTGGATAAAAAAGAAGGTTTAGAGGAGATTTACACCTTTTCCTCTGTTGCAAAACTAGCCAACAGAGCTGGAGCTTGGAGCGGCAGAAGGAGGCTGGAGCACTGGAGCTGGAGCTTGGAGGAGAGCTGGAGCTTGGAAGTTGGAGCGGATCTGTTCGCTGGAAACTGGAGCGGCTAGGGTTCGGACTTCGGAGCGGCTAGGGTTCGGAGATGCTTGGAAGCTGACGAAGGAGGCGGCTAGGGTTTGGACTTCGGAGCTGCGGAGAAGAGGAAAAATCGGAGCTGCTTGGAAGACGAAGGAGGCGGCTAGGGTTTGGACTTCGGAGCTGCGGAAGCGGCTAGGGTTCGGAGCTGCTTGGAAGACGAAGGAGGCGGCTAGGGTTTGGACTTCGGAGCTGCGGAGAAGAGGAAAAATCGGAGCTGCTTGGAAGACGAAGGAGGCGGCTAGGGTTTGGACTTCGGAGATGCGGAGAAGAGGAAAAATCGTGGTAGCCGATTTTATTCCCTTTTAACTGAGTCGAGTTCGGGTTCGGGTTCGGGTTCGGGTCGGGTTTGGGGGCGAAAAAATTGTCTTCACTTGATAGCGGGTTTCGGGTTTAGCGGATTTTCGCCGCTTTAATCCGCTTTGAGCGCTTTCAGCCGCTATTGAGCGCTTTCGGCCGCTATTGAGCGCTTTTACGCGCTATTCGAGCGCTTCGCGGTTTTTTCCGCTAAATCCCGCCGCGAACCCCCTACGCGTAGCGCTTAGGGGCCGCGATCCGCTATAGCCCCGCTATTGCCCCGCTATTTGCCGCTATTTACAACACTGCCCATAACAATGGCGAAGTCTATGTATTCAATATCGTAGCATCAAGTCTAAGGGAGTTCATTCATTTAGCACAACGTCACATGCGGAACGGACTTAAATAATCCGCATGTAAGCCCGATTCAAACGGTAATCGGTAAAGGCACGCCAAATCCGTTGAAGGCTGAGGGTTTGCCAAAAAACCTTAAAGTCTACGTCTGACACACGTCGCTGTTTAGTCTTTTCACAGGAGAAAGACGAAGTCTACGTATTCAATATCGTAGCACTAAAAGAGTTAACTCTTTTAGCATAACGTTACATGCAGAACGGACTTTAACAATCCGCATGCTAGCCCGACTCAAACGGTAGTCGGTAAAGGCTTATCAAACCCGTTGATGGCTGAGAATTTGCCAAAAATTCTATAAATGCGAGTCATTGACGTATCAGCTTCATTAGTTGGTCTCATGACTTGAACATCCAACAAACTTCAGGATAAGATCCACACGTGCAGATGAATCAGCTTTAATAGTTGGTCCTGCAGCCCAACATTCGGGACCGTCATGCTCCAATGCCTTAAGAGCTTAAACTGTGTAGACTTCAGCAAACGTACGAGTATAAACTGTGTTAACGCCGGTCAAACGCGTTACAGTAAAGATCGATGCCAGTCAACGCATCAGCAATTTCGCCAAAATAAGGCAAAAGATGACTCCAAGGATTTTAGTTACAATCAGATATGAATTCCTGACGGAGAGGATCAGTTCAAAGTCAACTCAATGGCACGAGCTAAGTTCAGAAAGTTACACACAAATCTCAGTTCAAGATTTCGACAGCGGTCAGACGATAAACGCAGCGCCAGAAGAACTTTACCTATTCAACGAAACAATGAATAGATTGAAGACTGAAGAAGTTAAGAATTGAGATAGTTCAAGGTCACTCTACGAAATTGAGGAGATGGCCTATCTTATCCAAAGCATTCCAGACTCCTCAATAAAAGAATGAGTCTGGAATACTTTGGAGGGGGTATCTGTAGACGTCTAAAAATACCTATAGGTGTCCGTAGCAAAGAGGATTATCCGACATCGACAAGCGCATGAAGCGAATCGGCAAACTGTTGATAATACGACAACGAACCACCACAATGGCAAACGCCAAGTGGACCGCACACGTTAAACAACTCAAAGCGTACAAACGCGCCCAACAGTCAGTTAACATGCACGCATCATTCAGCTCGTGCATGTCAATCAGTTCACGCATCAATCAGTTCGGGCGCGTCGGTCAACACACGTGCATCAATCAAATACGCGCGTATATCAACCAACGCGCGTTCTACAGTTAATCCCGCAACGAAGCGTGCAAGTCAACAAGACGATCAAATATGTAAAACGGGGAAAAAATACAAGTCCCGGAAGAACCGGAAAACACGAAAGTCAGCGAAGCCCAAAAGCGCGCCGCGCGGTACGGACCAAACCGACCCGCGGAGCGCGGGTCGCCGAAGCCGACCCGCGTGTCGGCGCGGTCGTCCAAGCGACCCGCGTTTTGGCGGGTCGGCTGCGCGGCGGGTCGGCCAAGAGCCGACTCGCGTTTTGGCGCGGTCGGCCAAGCGACCGCCGCCCGGGGTCAGCTCGACCCGGCCGACCGCGCGCCCCCGCGGTCAGCGCTCGACCGTCGCGCCGGTTTTGACCCCCTTGAGTGTTTTTCGAACGTTTTGACGATTTTCTTGAGATCTTTTCATTCAGAGGTTCCCAACTGACTTGATATCATCTACAAACGTGGTTAGGCTGTTATTGACTAAAGATAAGGCCAAATCACTTGTTCTCATCCAAATAACCGCATCTAGGCCTATAAATACAAGCTTAGGGCCTCCTTTCAGCGGGCGATTGATTATCAAGACGAGGACGTGTTGCCGGATTGTGGAGTCAAAGCGAGCACCGAATTTCAGCGAGGGTTGACAGATCTTGGCGAGTTCTTCGGCATAAAGAAGGAGGAGTTGAGAGATCCGACACCATGTTCCGTCCGTCCCTTGAGATTAGGCTTCGGTCTTAATCTCGAGAAGAGCCCTGATTTCGCTTGGTCGATCTCAGCGCTTCAATCAAATAACTTCCTCGCGTGAAGACGAAGCCTCTGCCCCGAATTTTTCGATCAACCGGATCCAGATCAAAGGCGGTCCACGGATAAACCCCGGCACAGGCAAAGATCCCATGCAAGCAGAAGACCGATAGACGATCTCTGCGTTTGTTTGATAAAGTTATAAATTCTTTTTTTTATTTTCATTGTGTAAGGAGATCTTATACAAAGATCAACTTTTTATTTTATTCGAGTTTATTGTAACGACTAAAGTTGTAATAGATTCGATAGCAATGAAAATAGCAACTTTCGACGCAAACAAATAATTCAACGAAATTGAAGAAATGAGTGAAAGCGGGTGAAGCTTTTGTTCTTCCTCCCTTCTTTGAAGGGGTCTTATGTCAACTGTGGAGAGAATATGAGCATAAATAGCTACTTTGTGGAAAAAAAGTTTTTATTTTATTTCTCTGTAATGCTTCATTGGAACATTTTTCACGGGGATGTTGGTTAATGAGGTTGATGCTGGATAGTATTAATAAACGCAATTTGTTTTTTAGTTTTTGTTGATGAATTTACCTTGTATCATTCAAACTGAGCTTGTTTGATGGAGCAATAAAATTTGTAAAAGACCGTTCAAAATTGGGGATTTTTGCAGCTTGAATGACTAGTGTTATAGTAATTTTGTGTTCGTGTAGGTATTTGAGTTTCATCATTTAGTTGGTCGTTGCTCTGCTAACTGGGTATATTTGCAAAAGAAGAGTGAAAATAAGCTTTGTGTTGTTTTGTAGTCTCATCGATGAATATATTGGTTATTATTTTTCATTCCAACTATACTCCAAATTTTTTCATATTTATCTGATTTGTGTTGATTGTGGATATACAATGTGGAAGGAGATGATGACAATAATAATATATAGCAATAGATGCATATTTGATATTTAATTTCTAACAACAATATAACTTAATAATATGTGAGAGTATTTATGTCAATTTATATACATTCCCTTCCCTTCCCTTCCCGTTATTACACTTTCCAAACGGGGTGAAATAACTTCCCCTTGATTCACCTTACTAGTTTCCCAAACAAGTTTTAGAAATTCCCTTCCCTTAACTTAACTTCCCCTAGGTTCCCCTAACTTCCCTTCACCCCCTCCAAATCCAAACAAGCCCTAAATTTCTCTGCCAATCAAACGAATTTTCCTAAATGTCATATAGCCGCCAGCACTCCAAAATGATTTCCAACCAATAACATAAGTTGTCAGCATAGTGCCTTAAAAACCTCCTTCCACAACTCTCTGCATCAACATGTAACCAAAAAACTCACTCAAACGCTACTAACGATCATAAATTGAGTTCATAAGAGGGAATATTTTAACTCGTTAAGTTCACTCTACCAGCGCAAAAAGAAACATTTATTGTTTCTGAAAGCCTCTACTAAGGTGTAAAATAGATCATTTAAATAATCATAGTTGAAATGTATAGTGTTCGTGCATAAACAAATGTAACGATAATATGCATCATAATCTCAAAATCAAATATTTACGAAGCCAAACCTCTTGTCTTTGTCGAAAAAAAAATCATTCTACATCTAAACTCAGAAAATTACTCAAAAAGATTCATTAGGACTTTTCTTACCTCGGGAGCAGAGGGTTCTGGTTCTCCGCGGAGTACGCTAAAGATCCACAGGACCCTAGGCTTATAGTCACCGCCCCTGCCTTCACCGACGAGTAGTGAGTCAACAGCGACGAC